CCCATCACGCATTAATTCTTTTTGCTGACTCTGCATTGTACTCTTATTTCCCCAGTCCAAGACAGAAAATGTAGTGTGTTGTTTCTCTGTGCAGGGACTAGGGATAGAAAGCAGAGTTTTAATGGGGGATTGTGTGTTATTTATGTTTTATGGCCTAATAAAAAGACAGTGTGTGGAATTAGCACTGTCTCTTTGCTTAAAAAGAATATAAGTTTTGAAGACAAAACTATGGACTGATTTTGCACCTCTCCTTTTGAAGGCTGTTTCCTGTGCTGTGTGTTGCAAAGATTAAAGAAGTTCTTAATACAAAATGATGTGAACTAAAAATATTGTACCTTTTCAAAGGAAGAGAATGGAAATTTAGAATGCATTTGGCAGAGTCTCTGAGGACTTGAAGACATAAGCTCTAGTGTTTTTCTTTTTGAAATTGCTAAACTAGTGAAATCATTCAATTTTATTGACTTTGTTTCAGAGATTTAGGAGACTGCAGTATTAAAAAGCCTGTACTTTAACACTTTACCAAAATATCTGAAATTAAACGCAGTACTAATGAAAGCTGTGAGGTATTATACACTGATTTCTTCAGTGTTGATCTGGGCTTATGATCTATAAAAAAACCCAAACCCTTGGAACTCTAAGAGACAGCGTTGAAAGGGTTGTTTCAGGTTAGTGTGTGCAGCCGTGAAGATGGTTCCTCTCTTTTTGAATTGGCACTAGTGAGCCCCTGCACTCACTTCTTTGGACAGGTGCAGCTTGGTGATTATCTGAAACTAATAAAGTCTGTCTTTGTAGCTGTCCTGCAGGGTGCAAGAGCTGGAGATCAGCTGCACACTGTTCTGATGGGTACCTTTTATTCCTGCTGGTCTTAGGTGCTGAAGTCAATTTTGTTCAAGATTTTATCTTGCATGATAAATCTTCTTTGTAATGTAAGATTACTTGAACATGTTACTAGTTCTGTTTGACTTCTAACATTTATGTGTAGGTTAAGAGGTGGGTTTATATCTCTGCAAGGGATCTAAAATGTGCATTTCTCTCATTGTATTAATCAAAGATGTCCAACTATAAGGCTGGTGCTTAACACTTACAGCACATTGTGGCTCTTCTTCTGCGTCATGTGAATCAAATCATTCTGATTGTTCCCTGTCCATAGAAAGGGATCATGAAAACTATAACTGCAAATTCAGGGAGACAGAGGACATCCAGCAGAGAACTTGATAAATTTTGTGGTCCATGAGCTGTCAAAACAGTCATCTCTTCTAGAATTATTGCTTTCAAGGACGTAGACTCTTCCACCTTTCTCTCCTGGCCACTCACAAAGTAATTGACTGATCCATTTTACCTATGAATTATGGTTGTGGTGATTGTGTGTGGAAGAGTGTTGAGAGGATCTTTAGATTCAGGATGCCTCTGTCTCTAGCCATGAGCGTTAAATAATGCCTGTCTCTTGAACCATCAGTATTAAATAACTGAAGATAATACCTTTTTTATCTGAGTTCATGCTAGGAAAGAAATTATCTAGGACAAGCATTTAAAGGCAGTATAGGACTAAGTAGTTTCCCTGACTAAGAGCTTTATTCCAAAATGGAGACAGAAGGGAAATGGATTATTGAGCTAAAAAGTCTTTTTGCTCCTTCAAGGAGAGCTAGTGCTGCAGCTGCAGATAGACACGTCTATCAGTGTTGTTTACCTTTAATTTTATTGGTGTGCCAACACTGGCTGTGTTCCCCTTTGGATGGGCATAGAGTTTCTCAGTTAATCCCAAGTTTGAATCCTACCATCTATTATACCTTTTAGGTCTGAATAGTATTCAGACATTGCCAGATAAGTTTAGCTTCTCTGGCAAACTCCCAGGAACAGGAACCTTGATTATTATTGCTGTGGAACTCTGCTGGCCCAGCTGCCTTGCATTTGAAGGTACTGGCTTGTATGTACTGAGGCTGTTGCCTCAAGGGTTTTAACTGCTGTGTACTGTTCTTACTGTCCCCCGTGATTTGCATGTTATGGCTCATATGCAGAGCAAGTGATGCACAGACGTAATAAAAGTAATTTCTAGACCATTACTACTATACTGATATATGAGTGCAAGAGATATAATCCATCTCCCTTGAGGGGGAAAATAGCAAAATCAATATGCACATCTCCTCCTGGAGTTTCTTTATTCCTTTCAATAGCCTTTCCAGAAGCCCAGGCCATTCTGTTTACCTGACACTTTTTTTCCCTTTGCTGGAAAGCAAATGCTTTCTTAAATAGCAGTTTACAACTTGTCTCATCCCCGACCTTCTGTGTTTTGCAGTTCTGTGTGGAATACAGATGTCCATGCATTATAGTAATTACTGCATTTAAACATAATTAGGGTTTAGCCAGTAACCTTCATTGCTTTGATATCATAGGGTTTATTCAGTCATTGATAGTTTTCAATGACTCTTCCATCTAGGACCAGACTCATAGGTTCTGACTTTGTTCTTGCTACTCAGAGATTGAAGCAATCAAGAGTAACTGTATGCAGATGAAGGTGCTATTTAAGGTAGATTTATACAGTGTTTATAAAATGGACTGGAACTGATTAGTTCACAAACCAATAAGTAAGTAGGTTGCTGTTGAATTTCCAGAACTGTGTTCTCTAAAACAAGAGGGCTACCAATGAACTGTGTGAAACGTGTGCAAGATGCCTTCTTGAGAGGGGACAGTGCAGCAGTTGGAGACCACAGAAGTTTTTAGCTTGTCAAACCTGTTTATTGCTTTCTAAAAAACAATTAGGTCCATTGCAAACTCATTTGTTAAAAATACAGTATGTGGCTGTAAAACAAAATGTCCACTCAGCATACAGAGGCAAGTAGGAATATACACATTGCCATTCCCAAAGCCCCTGCATGCCCTGGTAAACCTTTTTCAAGGGTCATCGTGGCTGGCAATCCTGTCATGTGGCCTAGCCAGCATCTTTCCCTGTTCCCTTGATAGGTTTGGTCTTCAATGCTGGATATGCTCATAGTGTTAGATTACAGTGTATGATAAATATCCTTTTTGTGACTGCTGTCTGAGTCATCTTTCCACAGCTGTAATCCATCAATTTACAAAACATTGGCAACCAGGTGCACCTGCATGGTGGAGCCTCCCTTGGAGTGGGCAGCTCACTCTGGGCACAGCAGCATCCTGGGGTGGTGTAACTTGCAGGTCAGGGTTTGTGATGACCATAAGGCTATGATGTTTTAATTTCAGTAATATTATGAAATGGAGGGAAAGCATGAAGATGGAGTAAAAGAAGTCTAGCTGCTGATTCTAAGGGGAAAACAAGGAAGAAGGTGTATGTGTGGGAATGAATGGAAAAGTTGGAGCTGCAACCTTCTACTCCTTGTGCGTGTGTTGGGACTGCTTGCATGCATTCTGTTTCTTGCTTGTAATGGGATTTGATAATGAAGAGGAAACTAAAGAGCCTTTCAGCTGCATGGCAGTTCTCTATAGAATTGTAGAACCTCCTTAGGAGGAGAAAATTACTTGGAGATTTGTCTTCATAATGTCACACTCTTGACTGGGCTATTTTTCATATGTACAAATAATAATTAAGTTTGGTCTGCATTCACTGTTGTAGTGCTATTAGAAATGGCTGAATTGCAGGACACAGCAGTGGTCCTTGTATGAGGGATGGACTTGAGAAAAGAAAGTAGGTAAAAGTAGGAATGCAAGCGCCCACAGAAAGATACAGTGCAGAAAATGTAACTTCTCCGTCAGATCAGGGGTTGACAGGAACTTGTCTGGGAGTTGTTAAGAGTTTTAGTTCACCAGATAAAGATACCGGTGCTGTCCTCTGAAGAACAAAAACTTCTGTTTTAGGGACAGAAACTGGCTTCTGAAGCCCATGTGCTGAGGATTGGGTGCCTTTTTTTAAAATTTTTTTTAAACTGTATAGGAGTATTAAAATCCATCTGATAAACTTCAGTTGCTGGACTGTGTGAAGGTTATACCAAGAATCCTTTTTTTGGGAAAGGCCTTTACAAAAGTGTTGGACATTAAGATCATATAATGTTTTGGGGATTAAAAAGGAGATCTCTTTAGAACTGCTTCTGTGGCCTTATTTTCTCATCCTTGCAGCAATGTGAAATGGTGCTGTGTTAACTTCAATTCAGACCAAAATATTTGGTTCCAAACTTCCACTAGTCAAAATCCCAACTATGGAATTCAGTATTAAAATAACTTCCAATAGGTAGAGGAGGGGTACTGAGAAACAAAGATGTATTAGATAAAAGTGTCAGGTGTACTTTTTTCACTAATTTCAGTAGATGGAGTTCTAATAAATGAAAGCTGTTAGTTTTATTGTTTGGGGTTTATTTTGTGTGTGTGTGGGGGGGAGGTGACACAGCTGATTTCCTGAAAACAGAAGAAAATGTTCCAAAAGACTTAAAAACTCTGAAAATATATCATGAACAAAAAAGAAGCAATCAGTGTCAGTATAGCAAAACATGAATAATTGAGCACATTATGAGCTTTTGTAGTTAACACTTTGTATTTCATTAGGGTTATTGTTCCTGTGAGGGAGGTGGAAATCCAAGACAATCTACCCTCTTCACCCTGCTCCATGAATGCATACCTGAGCTTTCTAGTTACTTATATGCCTATAGCCAAAATATATTTTTAGTGGTATTGATAAACTGGTAATACTGGGTAGAATTACAGCTTCTGCACGAGGTTCTAGGGCCACTGAAAAGGAAGGATTTTTTTTCTTTCTTGAAAAAAAGTGTGAGGTGTCACCTATGTGACTTTGCTTGTTTTTTTCCTATTACTTATTCTGCTCACATACTCTAGATAGAAAGTACAGTGTTTGGAGTGTACAGGAGAGTGGAACTCACAATAAACAGCAGCATCTCTTGTTTTTTGTTTTGTTTTTGATGTTTCAGTTGACCTTCATATCTGCTGCCTAGATTTGGCTCAGCTTCAACAGATTACCTAGCATCCTCATTGTCCTCCTCCACCTCTTACTCATCTTCATCCTTTTCCCTGCCACCCCCATGAGGTTCAATGCTAAACATCTGGCTTTGCTGGCCAGGCAACCATCAGGTTGTTTTGACAAGGAAGGAAAACTGAAGATTTGCAGAGTGGTTGGGGATGAAAAATTAATAGGTAACAATGACTTGTGCGGAAAACTACTCATGGTTGATGCGCATGTTTTCTGCAGTTGTTGGCTTAGTTACACTAATCACATATACCCGTTTTTAGTTTTCTTCATTACTGATGCTTGAGTGGTGCTGATTACCTTTCCAAATAATGAAGCTTAAATCTAGTTCTTTAATTTGCTCAAATTTTCAAGTTCCCTTTGTCATGCGCCAGGGAAACAGCACACAGTCTTAAACATTATTATTCTTGTCCTGTAAACAAAGATTGTATTTTTTTTTTCTGCTACTGATTGCTAGTCACCAACCATTAGTTGCCATGTTTTAAAGATTAGCTATCCAGTTCCTCAGAACTTGCCCCTTCCACCTCTGAAAGCTATGTTCTTTCTTTTATCATTATAGATTTTCCATGGCTCACTTCCCACCTCCTTTGCAGGTTTCTTCAGGCTTTTATGATCATATTTTAAATGTCTTTCAATTTCCAGTAAGCTTGAACAAGTCTATTCCCTCAGTAGCTGTTAGAAAATAGCTTATGCTTGGCTGTAAAATCGGTCCTAACACAATAATTTCAGCAACAGCAAATGTTTTATTTTCACTTGTCCCAGTTGGTCTTCACTGTGATTGTATTTACTTTTATTTTATTAGAAAAAAATCCAAACAAACCCAAACCCACCACAGACTCAATTATGGTAAGAGATGGAGCAAATTCTGTGCCACATTTTCAGAAAATTTTATACATGCCCTGGTAAAACCACGACATACATTTCCTAATGATAAATAGTCAGAGTTTCCTGCGGATGGTGGAGCAAACTTCCTGGACAAGGGCTTTTGGGAGCATCCTCATCTGGCTGCTTTAGGGTTTCTCAACAGGATTTCCACCCTGTGTATTCATCGTAGGCAGCATGTTAAGCCCTGCCCAGTGAATATCTAATGTTTATGAGGATGTTTTGAATTTTTTTTATGTTGAGTGCTAGTATTTTTAATACTGCTAAAAACCTGACACTAACTGGAGAGAGACCAAACTCTTATGTAGCTCAGTATCACGGATTATCTGTGCCATAGTCAGGGGGAGCAGATTGTAGCAAAGTGTTTAAGAAGCTATGCATGTGGAAGATGTTCCTATTGCCCAGTAAATCCTTCTGGCTCCTAGCAATCATATTATGATCCCTTGGGAAGAAGGGTCATTTCTGTCAAGGCATGCTGACTACTGCATATCCTATCTACTGACAGACTTGTCATTGTTAGTCTGACTAATCTTTGGACTTGCTTATTTTTCACACTTATAAGGTAGTGACTTTCCCAGTCATATAGAAAAATATCTTTTTATCAGAAAAAGCTACAGTGTAAATGTGATAGCTTTCCTTCTTCCTGATGCCCACGTGGCTCTGGGGGATGCAATTTAGTCTTAGCAGACTCCTGTACTTGCACTGTAAAGCAAAGTACTCGGATCTGATAACTGTGTTCAGATTTTTAGTTGGTGGATGGGCATCAATTTATATTATTCTCTTTTCTGTATTGTCCTTGCACTTTAGTAGGTCTGAAGAGATCCAGGAACTTCAATTCCTTTTCTAAAAAAAACCCAAACAAACCAACCCAGGTTATCATTGAACAGTTATTTCCGTGAGTCCCAGTACCTGTGACTGTAAACCTCGCACTTTCTTGTGGGGAAGAAGATATTCTGATTTTCAAATGTTGCTTACTGAAACATCTTCATTGAAATTATCAAGAGGAAAAGAGAATTTTTTTTTTATTTATTGACTGTAACAAGATGTCCTCCTGCTCAATAAAATGTTTTTAGTGGTGGCCAGCTTTGAGGGAATTACAAGACTTCTGCAGAGGCAACTGTAGAATAACATGGCCTTAGGGTACAGCTGTTCTTCCAGCTCCCTATCAATTCCAGGTTGGCTGCTGTCTGGAGATATGCCCTCTCAAAATGTAGAATACATCTTGTGTAAAAAAGGCTTCTTCCTCTTTTAGGAAATGATCTCTGAAGACACCACATTTGTCCACAAGATCTCTATCTGTGTATGTTTGTAATAGGTTTAGGTATCTATATGTACCTACAGATACACATATTTAAAAAATCAGCCATGTTAAAAATTATCTAGCTATGGAAGAATAACTTTTTCAAGCTTTTTGACCCACTTGCTGACCCTAAAGCTGTGAAACATTCCCTGTTCTCAAAAATTTGATTACATGTCTACATGTGTATGTAAACAAAAATACGTTGTTATTCCCATTGGTTAAGCACTTTAGTAAAGTATAGTAGAATAGTAACAGCAAAGTGACTATAAATATTTGGGTCTCATTTTACTCCCTTTTTTTACTTTCTGAAAATTGTGAATTCAGATTAGCATGTTCTAACCTAAGTGGAATAGCCAGTGTTTTTGTGTCTTAACGTGGATTATGTTTGATCTCCTGAAATGATGGAAGCAAATGCTGTTCCATGCTAAAGTGCCTGTTTCTGCTCCTGTGTGAGGAGAAGGGAGAAAAGCTGAGAAAACACCGATGAGTATGTGCTGCAGTCACCAATACTCTCGGCTGCAGAGTAGAAGAAACCTTCTGGGAAGTTATTTGGCATTTAACAGCATGCTGTACATAGGCAGCCGCTGAGTGAAGCTGGCTTTGTTTGCGTTGTTAATGATTTTTTTTTTCCTGCCCTTTATAACTAATGCATCTTCTTTGAGAAGCATTTAATGTGTGAAGACAAAAGGTTGTTTTTATTAATCTCTTACTTTTTTGCATACAGAACCGAGGGAGAGATGGTGCCGACTGAAAGGAAATCTGCTTTTTCTAATGAAAAATAAGGTAATTCATTTTCCTACTGCTTTTCTTGATGTGCTAGTCTGAAATGTGAGAACTTGAGTAATCCTTTTTCATGATAGCTACATTGGCACTGTGCTTTTAGGGACAAAAAAATAAATCACTATTATTGGAAGAGTGGAGATGAAAAAAATCAATTGTTTGCTGTCTGTAACACTGGGTATTCTTCATGATGTCAACATCCTTTTGCTGAATCATAAATAGTCTATGGCAAGGGTCTGTTCATAACATACATGGGTCTAAATCCAGAATTACTGCACCAAATCCACTGGAATAATGAAAGCAAAATCTCACAGCAAAATGAGATATTGTGACAATGTTCAAGATGCAATTTCAGACCCCACTACAATTTTTTAGTGTGGTTTTGTAACTAAGTTTGTGATAAAGAATGGTATTATTTTCTCTTCCTATGCTGTAAAAAGCATTTCTATTCCTGACATGAAGGGACTGTTAAAATAGGGTCTGACCCTGACACGCTGGAGCTGCTGAGTGCCCTCATTTGTCATTGGCTTTATTAGGAGTTGAGGCCACTCATCCTCTGGAATGAACAAGCACTGAGTGTGGAATTGCTCTTTTTCTTACTCTATCTGATATTATGGACTTGCTCCTTTAGTTGCCTGAAAATAGCACTGGATTGTAAAGAATTAGGGAATAGGATGCAGCTTGAGGCGCTTACCTGTTTTAACAGCAAGTATTTTATAACTGGCTTCCAGAATATTTTTATACTGTGTGAACCAGCAGTTGGATGGAAACAATTGTACTGCTTGGTAGATTGTATATTTTATTTAAAAGATTTTTCAGTGTGATATAGTGGCTTATTTTAATACAGTGATGAATGTGCACATATGGCATACTTCTAAAGCAGTATTTGCTTTCAAAGCCCCGTTCAGGAGCATGCGAGAGACTTCTGTATGTGTGCAAACAAAATGAGATGGTGAGACGTAAAGGTTTCTCTGCCTTGAGTTTCATACAGCTGCATTCTCCTGGGTGGTAAATGGTCTGACAAGTATATGTAGGTGACAGCAAGTTCACGGCCACCCCTTTGTCACAGCCTTGTATGTTATCGTTCTTCTGTATGACTTGCAGAAACTATTTTTAGTAAAGGGCTTTAAATTTCTAAATACTGTCTTCTACTCTATGTTCCTCCAAGTGTCCTATTTTCATGGGAGCCTTGGCATTTTGTAAAACAGTTTAAGGAAATGTTTTGATCAACTTTGCAACTGTGAAGAGAGGAGGAGGAGAAGATCAAGTGTAGCTTTCAGTTTGGCTCTGCAGACTTGGAGAATTAAATGTTCCTATACTATACTAGAAGGTTTAGTGAGCATTGGTACTTGATTTCATGTGCTATATAGTAGTTTTGGGTGGTTTTTTGGGGTTTGATTAGTTTTCTGTTTGTTTGGTTTTTGGGGGTTTTTAAGTGTGTTTGTTTTTTATAGTGTGTTTTTTTTTTTTTCTTTTTTAATTTATATTTCTTTTTTAATGGGAGGGTGAAGTACAGGTGGATGGAATGAGACTGTATCAGTTGGACCAGCAAATCAACTAACCCTCTAGGGCCACTCAGGCTGTTCAAATACAAAGCTGTATTTTAAGAAACTTGGAAAGCGAGACACAAATTAATGACTTGTTACAGAAATGATTTAGGCTTGCAGTAAATAAGTGGGAATTCCCCTTGAAATGCTAGAGTTTGCCTGAACTGGTTAAATAGGTGGGTGATTTTTGTTCTACATCTAGGTCAGTGCTAGAAAACTGTGTCTTATTCTGGTTTCCACGTTTAAAGAGGTTTTCAGAATTTGCAGAAGTTTTGGAAGGAGCCAGGAGATTTGACAAATTTTAGCTTATCAAAGAAGACTGGTGACATGATTAATGTCAGCATTTTCAAAAGGTGATTTTATCAGGTACTTTCTTTAATTAGGGAGATCACAGTAACAGACTTAGAAATGGAAGGCAGACAAATGCATGATCATAGAATGATTGGCCAGTGAAGCCCAAGTGTGGTGAGATATTGTGGGTGCTTAGTTTTAAAATGTCACAACCTACTAGGCTCGGTACAGAGACCACTGAGTGATTCAAGGGCAATGGCTTACAATGAAACCATGTTCCTATTTTTGTTACTGGAATCTGGCTTGGTTTATGGCTTGACATGGAAGAAAAGTAATTTTGATGTTTTGGAAACTCATCTGAATGCTGAACAATTAGCTCCACAAGTCACTGTCATGAAGCAAAGACTGGTTTGCTGCTATTCATTAACTGCTGTCAGAGCCACGTGCATGTCTGCATTTACAAATGCTTAATGGCAGACTCTCATTCCAGTTCAAATGCACATAAATTATGCTACTTGTAGAAGAAGAATCTTCTCTATGAAATTGCAAAGGATGCTTCCCGACTTATCTGTGCTGTAAATCCCAAGTAGCATGGAAGTAAATTTTCAGTTCATGGAGAAAATGTGGTTTATTCTTCTGCTTTTTCATATATGCATGCAGCAGAATGACCTATTAGGCACCTTAAGGACATTTATTTTCTTTGGTCTAGCAGTGGACTTGGTTATTTTGGACTTGGAGTGGACTAAGAAGACCTAGTTGTAGTCCTGAGGCACAATCAGCATTTGATAGTGAAACTTTTTCCCTTCGTAGACTTTGTTGTGGGTTTTTTTGTGTGTGTATGTGTGGGGGTTTTTATGTGTTTTTTTTTTTTCTATGTTGTTGTTGTTGTTGGTTTTTTTTGTTTGGTTTTTTGTTGTTGTTGTTTTTCTGTGTGTGTGTGGTGTGGGTAGGTAGGTTGCTTTGTTTTGCTGGTTTTCTCCCCCCCTCCCCCCAGATTGGTTCCCCACCATATTATACTGATTGTAGATGGCAGAGTAATAGTAGTGAGGGGCCTGCAGGAGTGGCCTCTGTTAGAAAAGCTCAAAGGCTCGGCATCGGACCCATCGTGGGGCACAGCTATGCCCATCAGCAAAGCAAGTGGTGCCTCTGGGAAGATGTATTTAAGAAAGGGCAAAATGCTGCATGAGAAGTGTGAGAACCAGCCCCAAAGTCAAAAAAGGAGAAGGATCTGCTCCAGGTGGAGAAGCAGATATTCCCCTGCAGCCTGTGGAGAAGACCATGCTGGGGTACATGGATATGCTGTGAATAATCTGCAGCCCATGGCCTGCCTACACTGGAGCAGGTTCTTCTGGAAGGAACTGTAGCCCATGGAGAGGACTGATGCTGGAGAAGGTTTTTGATGTCTGCAGCCCATGCGAGGGACTGCTGGAGCAGGGGAAAAGCATAAGGAGGAAGGGATGTAAGAGAGGAACTGCTACGGGCTGACTACAGGCCCATTCCCTATCTTCCCTGTGCCACTTGGGAAGTGTGGAAGGGGAGGTGGGGGAGTTGAGAATAAATGAGTGAATTTGTGCCTTGGGAGTAAAGGGGGTTGGAGGAAGCTGCTTTAGTTCTTGTCTGTGTTTCTTACTACCCAAGTCTGTTTTAATTTGCAGTAAACTAAATTAATTTTTCCTGGGTGGAACCTGTTTTGCATGTGATGGTTGTTGGCAAGTGATCTCCCTGCCTTCATCTTGACCCACAAGCATTAAAATTTTATTTTCTCCCCCCGTCCTGTTTAAAAGGGGGGGTGATAAAGGAGATGGGTTGGGTGGCAGCCTGACAAAGTCAATCAGCCACAGATACAGCTCCCTGTGGGAGCTGTACATTGCTAATAGCTTCCTGTGTGAAGTCCTCAAACCACACAAAGCATGTAGGCTCTGTGTCCGCTTCCAAGGAAGTGGGAGATGTGTGCATTTGCATCCTATGAACACAGTCAGTATATGTTGCTTTTGAAGGCAGAACTGGAAACTGGCTGTGGCTGTCTGGGCTGGGGAACCTAGTGTGGGACAGGGCTTTCAGAAACAAGTTTGTTGTGCTAATTGAGGAGCAATTCTTATGTATTGCAGTCCAAAATAGGGTTTTGGAACTAGACAGTGTTATGTGCCTCACTTAAATTATGTGCTAAGTGGGTTATTTACTTATTTACTTAGATTCTACCCAGCCTGGTAGATGCTTTCTTCCACAACTCATGTTGAGTGGGAAACAGGGAGAAGGATTGCTCAGCAACAGTTGCTAATGTGTGTAATAAGTATTAGGTACTTATGTGCCTTTTTTTATTAGCATAGGAGGGGACTTTGGATTAGAAGTTTTGGACCTCTTTGAGGACTGCAGTATTGTCTAATGGTTTTTGTTTTAATTACAGGTCAGAATTTATAGCAATCGTTCACTTGAAAAACCAAAATCAAACAAAAAAACAACCCAAAACAAACAAACAAACGTTGCACATTTTTATGTCATGTTGTGTCGTTTCCTTGTTGTTTACTGTTCATAGGTCCTTCAGAATAATTCTGTGTTTTTCTTTCCACTAAAGAAATAAACATATTACTTTGACCTTTCTCAGTCTATTTTAATCCTCATGTGCATTCAAGGCTTGATTTCAGCCTAAATCATTGTTTGCCATATATGGGTGAATTTAGAGCGATTGCTACTAATGCAAAGAAAGAAGCTATCTAACCCATCTATGGTTCATTTTCCCTAATGTTTAAACTAATATTCCCAAATAGTAGTGCTGATACTTAACCAGATTTGTAAATGACTTTGCAGTCTACGCACAAAAAGATACACTAAAAAGTACAATTATGTTTTTGCATCTCAGTAATAGCTCCAGAGGGCCCATTATGTTCTATTGAGTAAACATTGTGACATTCTTGCTTATTTTTGAATATGTATTTAGGAATTTATTTAAAAATGGATTTTTGATCAATAGCTTGTAGTGGATTCTCTAGCAGAGTCATTAGTGTCTATTGTGTAAATCTTGCTTAGCTTGAGGTTTAGTGATCCCGTGGAGGTAACCATTCCAATCTGTCAGGTCAGTTTGTCCATGTGCTGGCTCAATAAACTCATTCTGCTTTTGTGTGTGAAAAGTTACCTTTTAAGACTTTTGTGATGTATTGATTTTTAAAA